TAATCCTGTGACAGCTACTCAATCTGGTGGTATTTTGATCTCTCAATATCGAACGAATGCATTGTCACATAGACACGCCATGCAAAAAGACAACTTATATCCCTATACAATAACGTCGTTTGTTGAACAACAAAAATTTCTTAGTTTAATTCAATTCTCCCCCCTCCCTCCCCTCCCCTCCCCTCCCAAGTCTGATTGAACTGTAATGCAGCATGGAATCAACATATAAAGCCCGACTTTACAAAAACCTCACTATGGTAAGGACTACTTTCAAAAAAATATTAATTCAAAATCTTAACTTCCTTGAACTGTAAAAACACATAATTACGTATATTACGTAAATTACAGATCGATAGTAACAACTTCCATTCAAATAATGTGAGACGCGGATGGCTTTTCCATTGATTTTAGCAAACGGATTTCAAACTAATTGCACTATTAATGAACATTTTACGTCGAGTCACGTGAGTTATTTAATACCACGCTTACCCAACCCCTGGATGGAATACAGAGGAATCGCAGTGGCAAGACAGAGGCTCAAGTAGCTAATAGGTTACAAAACTCTAAATGGAGGGGATAGGAGTTAGTGCAGTAATTCCTTGTCCTGCATCGTCTATTTGACTTACCGTTAGCCAATTGCAGTCACCTTCCCAACGTCATGGGAATGTTCGTCTAGGCGTAGGGCATAAAGATGGCCGAATGATAGCATCTCACCAATAAAATGGGTTAATTATCTCCTCATTACCCAAGATAAGGCAATTTCAAAGAGCAAATAACTAGTTTTTTTATTTCAATAAGTAAAATGAAGTCTTGAAGGAATGAAAATAATAATAATAATAGTAATAATAACCCCCACCCCAAATTCTTTAGCCAATTAGCACAATGCCCAAATAGACAAAATAAATGGTCTTATTTTTCACAAGTACCGTAGCCATTGGGCGCAATTGTCATCACCTAGTTGTCTTACGGACCTACGCCTGATCGATCAAGACTGCACTAGATGTTGGACAAGAAGAAACTGACCTTCAGACAAATAAAACCGACTGCATCCCATTGGTCGGCAGAAATAACAATGGTATTAGCTTTCTATTTACTTCCCTCAATGTATCGTACAAAAGAAGTATTCTAATGCCCTGCAGACTGGTTTTGTGTTTACTAATGTGAAGTCTAAAAATAAATACTAAATGTTAGGGTGCAATTTGTAAACAATGGTTGAAATAGACACAATTAAAATGCTGACTCGTGTCCAGACTGATTGCAATCGTCAAATGAAAGTATGTATTAAAGCTAACCAAACGGCTTAGGGAAAATCGACACAAGTATTTGGGAACTCTTATCCATCCGAGCAACTTTAGGGGTCATAAATTTACAATTGATAAAAAACAGAGATCACGTATTTTGACAGAACCCAGGAGAACATAGTCAAGGTGTCTCGAAGGGATACAATGCCGCAAACCGGTAACTGACTAATAGAAACTACTGAAATCATGAAAGACAATGGATACTATCATCAAACTGTTTAAAAGTGATTTGTCTTTCCAACTATGTTCTAGGATTCAACCCCATTCCAGAATTCAGCATAAGCATCAAAGTTTGTGGATTCATCACTCCCGGTGCTGGAAAGGTGAGTGGAAATAAGGTGGTCACGGGGAAAAGGACCAGTTCGGATATGACATAGTTATGGAATGAAGTCTATGGACAACTTCTATTGCGAAGACCGAATACTTCAAATTCAATTGGGATTAACAAAGCCATGTCAATCAGGTACATATTCACAAAAAAGAACACTGTTGTCGCAGGTTAGGAGGCAGTCATTTGGGTAGCTTATATGCCACTCAAGTACGTACATAAATAAGCTGAATGGATAAAACCTCAAAATGAGGCTAAAGTTTAAAATCTATAAGAAAATTCAAATGCAAATTTTCTGAACACTCAATTCAATTGGTTAACCAATAATCTGCAAATATTGTCATTTATCAGGATCCACGTCTTCCTGTGCAGGTTTCAAGCATGTGAAGTTGACAGATATCTGACCCACCACACGGGGGAAAATGTGTCCATTATAAACGCTTTTCAACATGTCTAGACGAGAGGCATGGCACTCCCTTTATTAACTAAAACACGAAGTTGGAAGTTTTGTCTCAAGTATTTACTTTTTGTTTAAAGCTACTAAGATACTGACAATAGTCTGTCTACGTCAAGAGTAAGTCAAAAGTCAGACACAAACTTTTAGTCACTAATAAAGATCAGAAAAATGATTATCTGACGAATTTAATGGACTGCAATTGCAACCCATTAAAGTTAGTCGAACAAATTAAACATAGCCAATGCAAACGACAAATTTAAGTGAATACTTTCGAAGACCAATCACACGAATTTCTAAGAAAAGGAAATAACGACCCTCCTTCATTTATTACGATGGTTGGAGTAACTACATCGTTAATCAAACCGAGATAAACCTACAGCTGATAAGTTGAAATATTGTCCGTCTTTTATGGTTTTAAAACAAGCCCATCAATACAATTCAACTTCAACTCAGGATAGTAGCAATTCAGGGCTATATTCTTTCAGTAAGTTGCCATAGCCTTTAAATGTAGTGGTATGGCATTTTTACGATGCTACACAATATGACTATGGGGTGTGCGATAGACTTACCTCCACGTGGAGCACCCTGGGCAACGTATACTCATACGGCAAAATGGTCT